AACCAGGATGTATTGGTGCATGTTTTTTGGTTGCAGAAAACCAAATCTGTTGAATTTCCAGGAGGACTGGGGAGTAGTTCGGGTGCTACAGCTAAGGGCAGAGTCTGATTGTTCCAGTGGGAACCCATGGATGCCGCTGCCCACTACATAGCGCAGGGACCTCTGCGTAGCTGCTCCAGACAGGATACACTCTCTCGAGTGGCTACCCCCTCAGGTGCTCGTTTCCCATGCCTCCCACGGATACCTCTGCTCGACAGAATTCCAGCTGAAAGAGCATCTGGGAGATGTAGTTCTGAGACTTTCAGGCTCCGTGTCAGGGAAAGGTTGCCTAGACAGGGTTGGGCGAGCCAGTCTACCTAGGGAAAGGCAGGTAGAGAGTGAGGAGTTGCTGCTGCTTTACATAAAGTGGCCATGAAAGCGGTATCAGTTAGATATTGCATTTAGCTGCCCACCTGTAAGTCCATTCGTAGCTCGCCACCCACTCTGAAGATCGAGCCCACAACTTTAAGAAGACTCGGCCTCTGCTTTCTTTTCCAGCCTCACAACCTGAACAGTGGGGCTTCAGTGTTGTGAAATCACTGCTACTTCCCATACACAACACGCTGTTTCACAATGCCATGCCTTCTTTGTTCATGCTGGTCTCTCTCTCTGGACTTCCTTCCCCACCACTGTTTGCTTGGCTGTTTTAGCTGAGGAATCCTCTCTAGGAAGCCTTCTTGATACCCCCAGATTGCAACATGAGCCTCTTCTCTGTGTTCCCATGGCTGACTTGTGCTATGTATTTAATAGTTTCCTGGATTATATTAAAACAATCCATTTGTGTCTGTCTCCCTCATTCTATGAGTTTCAAAAGGTCAGGGACTACCTCATTCATCTTTGTAACCCTAGTGCCTAGTGCGTAGTAGGCAACTAACAAATATTTTGACATGAGTTGAATTTCGAACAAGCAGGAATTTGCTGGTTCGGGAAAGTGGGAGAAAAATGGGCATTGCAGGCAGAGGAAACAGCATATTCAATGTTACAGAGACATGAAAGAGCAAAACAGGTCTGGAAAAATGTAAGCATATCAGTGAGGCTAGAAGGAGAAAGCAGGTAGAGGAGGAGGGAATCGGTATGACGCCAGAACACTGACAGGGTTGGGATTAGGATGGGTCTTATGCATTGAAGAAAACAGCTTATTTGAAAGCTTTGGGGAAGCCACATTGAAGGATTTTAAACAGGTAAGGAACTTACACATTCAGATTCGTGTTTTTAAAGAGGTTGGTCTAACAGCTGGGTAAACGGTGGATTAGAGGGGCTCAGAGTAGAAGCACAGAAACCACGAAGAAGCCATTCCGAACCACGAGTGAGGAAGGCTTGAAGGCAGTGGCAATGGCATGAAAAGAGATAGGTGGCTCAAAATTTCAGATCAGTAGAATTTGGGCACCAGAAAAGTGAAGCATGGTTTTTACCAGAAGGGCCCCTTGGCCACCTCCCAACCCATCTTCACGCCACTTGCCTCACACCTCCAATTCTGAACTCCCACCCAAGGGTGATGAATAATAAAAAACAAAATGCATCACATCTATCTCCCATCCATAGCAAGGAACATAAAATCCAAATGTTAGTGCCGAAAGGGGCCTTGGAGATCCCCCCGGGCCAACTCCTCATTTGATATATGAATGAGCCAGAGAAAACAATTGACTTTTCTGCATTCCTCTGGAAACCAATGGTAGGCACCCACTCACTACAGCGGCATCTATTTAATTCTCCATATAGCACTTGTCTCTAATGTTTTCTTGTGTATTTGCTAATTTTCTGTCTCCCCCTGGCATTAGAAAGTAATATTTAAGAGCAGAGTCCTTGACTGTCTAAAATAGCATTTTGTCTATTAAGGAGATACTTAATGAACATTTGTTAACAGAGGAATGAGGCAGGTATAATCAGGTTTGCTCCCTCCTGGACTAGCGATCTTTACACAGGACCTTGGTTTGCAGGTTACCAAATCCATCATTTTATTTCCTAGTAGGGCTTTGCTTGATCAATCCTACAGAGGCTAAAACTATGCAGAGGCTAAAATCTACCAAGAAATAATATTGTACAGTAGTTCATGTGTCTTCTAATGTGAATAAATATATTCATTATTTTACTTTGAAAATATTAACCACTGACAAACTCACACCCATTAGGAAGGAAAGCTAGTATAAAGAAAAAATGTTGGTGAGGACATGGAGAAACTGGAGTCCCTGTGCATTGCTGGTGGGAATGTAAGATGGCATAGTTGCTATGGAAAACAGTATTGAAGTTCCTTAAAAGATTAAAAATAAAGGCTAGGCACAGTGGCTCATGCCTATGATCCCAGCACTTTGAGAGGCTGAGGTGGGAAGACCGCTTGAGGCCAGGAATTCAAGACCAGCCTGAGCAACATAGCAAGACCCTGTCTCTATAAAAAAAAAAAAAAAAAATGGAAAAATTAGCCAGTTGTGTTGGCATGCACCTGTAGTCCTAGCTACTCAGGAGGCTGAGGCAGGAAGATCTCTTGAGCCCAGGAGTCTAAAGTTGCAGTGAGCTACAATAATGCCACTGCATTCTAGGCTGGGCAACCAAGTGAGACCATCTAAAAAAAAAATTAAAAATAGAATTACCATATATGATCTAGCAATTTCGCTTCTGGGAACATACCCAAAAAGCATTGAAAGCAGGGTCTCAAAGGATATTTGTACAGCTATGTCCATAGAACCATCATTTATAATAGCTAAAACATGGAAACAACCCAAGCGTCCATCGACAGATGAATGGATAAACAGAATGTGTTATATACACACGATGAAAATTGTTCAGCCTTAAAAAGGAAGGAAATTCTAACATATGCTACAACATGGCTAACCCGTGAGGTCATTGTACTAAGCAAAATAAGCCAGTCACAAAAAGATGAATATTGTATGATTCCACTTATAGGAGGTACCTAGAGAAGACAAATTCATAGAGACATAAAATAGAATGCGAGGGTGGAATATGGAGTTGTCGTTTTAGTGGGTATAGATAGAGCTTCAGTTTTACAAGATGAAAAGAGTTCTGGAAGATTGGTTCACAGCAACATGAATCTAACGTGCTAAACTGTACACTTACAAATGGTTAAGATAGTATATTTTATGTGTATGTTACCACAATTTAAAAAACATTTGCCACTGAGGTGGTATACATCTGTTATCTCATTTGATCCTTATAATACTTTTGAACTGTTGCTAGAAATATAAGTCCCATTTTGTAGTGAGGAGAACAAGGCTCAGAGAAGTGACGTGAATTGCCCAAGGCATGTAACTAGAAAATGGCTAAGCTGAGTTTCACACTCAGATCTCCTGACTCCATGCCCAGTGCTGGCTTCTGCATTGAGAGAGAAAGTTGAATTCACTTGTCTTCTGGTTGAAATATAAGAAATAAACCCTTGGCAGTTTGTGGAGAGAGCTATATAGGTGGGAGGGTGTGTGAGTGTGTGAGAGGGAGGGAGGGAGAGAACAGAGAGGAGAGAGCTATATAGGTGGGAGGGTGTGCGGGTGTGTGAGAGGGAGGGAGAGAGAGAACAGAGAGGAGAGAGCTTGCAAGCAACTCCCAGACACCTGCTTCATGCTGCTTGCTCCTCGATTTCCCTCCCTCCCCGAGTCTTCAGAAGGCAGGTGTGAGTCAACTGTAAACACAGTGAGAAAAGGTCACCCAGCGTTCCCTCAGCTGGCAAAATCAAAAGTCACTGCCATGGAGATGGTCTGTGTACATGAAATTAAAAACCTTTAAGATGACTAGGAGAAGAAAGTGGCTCTTACTTTTTGAAATGACTCCAATAGTTGTCCTCCTACCTCCTGTGAAGGCAAAAGATGACAAAATGCACTTATGAAAATAAATGCAGTCTACTGGGAGAAGGAGGGAGCAGTGGGAAGAACATGGAACAGGAGTCAAGCTTGGACCTACCTGCCTGGACCACCAGCCAACTCCCTGCATCATCCCAGGCACACCTTTCCTGTGCCCCAAGGGTTGGGCTGCTGTTACTACCATCATTTTCATGCTGGGTTTGAGCTGAATTTAGAGCTCAACCAAGAGCAAAACCAAGTTAAAAATACAAGAGGATCACTTAGCCTTTTATAAAGAGCTTTCATTTATCACAAATGGTCCACTGTGTGTCAGGCGTTCTCCTGGGCACTTTACTCTATGGTAACTATAATCCTTCTACTGCTTAACAACTTATGTTTATGATACAACTGCACTTAGAGGGAAGATCGAGTTTCGCAAAGTATTTGCCTGGATGGTGAAGAGTGGAGTCAGAATTTAAACACAGGCCTGTGTAGTTCCAAAGCTTATTCTCTTTTCCACTTCATGGTGTTAAGTTCAACCACCAAGATACAAAGACCTATGGGAGCACCAAGGATTCTGGGAAGAAGTTAGCTGTGCCTGTCATTGCAGGGAAAATTCTGATGGAGGGGTGGGCATGGAAGTGCAAGAAAGCAGTGGACACGTAGATGGAAATGCTTTTTGTGATATAAGAACACAAAGCAAAGTCAAGGTGGTGGGGAGTATAAGGTTTCTAGGAAAATGTAAACAGTCCTGTTTGGTTTAAGGGTTGTTGTGTTGGGCTGTGGTTGGAGTCAGGACCACATTATGATGAAGCTTGAATGCTGTATGATGCAGTTTGGAACTTATTTTTATAGGAGTGGGGAGCCATCAGAAATTTGTATCAATGGGTTTATCAAAAGTTGTTAGTATTATCCAAAAGTGTTCTTTCTATGCTATGAAAGAATTAAACATACCTGAAGCGTTTCAAAGAGGAAACAATTGTTTTCATTCCATCTCACATAGACAGTAGCATTCCTGGCTAATATTGCCCAGTAGGTAAGTAATTGCATGACATCAGCAGGTAGAATCCCTTAAGTAGCGCCAGGTAGTGCCACTTCAGGTAGTGCTGTGAAGTCAATTAATCACACTGGCTTTTCTCCCGGAATAATGAGACATTTTTGTTTTCTTTTATTCTTTAGAAAGGGGTAAGAAACTTCAAGGAACTTCGAGCCAAATTTCAAAAACTTGACACTCCACCTCTTCCAGGCCCTATTAAATTCCCAGCAGGTATTTCTCAAAAGGGTGACACTGGAAGCACACAGTCAACCCAGATTCCAGCCAAAGGGAAACCTCTCTCATCCAGCCACAAGCAGCCCCCACCATGTTGTTCCAGAGGCGAGTCCCAGCTTCTTACAGCCCAGAAAACGCAGTTGGCCCAGAGCAGTGGAATTCAGATATGTTCTAATTCCCCAGGGTCTCTGGGAACGTCTGTTCTGTGTTCTGCAGTAAATTCACAGAAGGCTTCTCTGTTGTTAGATGTGAGTCAATCAAATGCTGAGATAACCAATAAGGAGAAAGTGATGGTGCCCAACAGCTTCAGAGAAAAGCTCTGGAACTGGGAGAAGGTTTCATCTCAGAAGAGTGAAATGTCATCAACCCTTCTCCTTGCCAGTTGTGAAAGTGAGGCCCTCCGTGTGGAAAGGCAAAAAGGCCTGGGACTTACTACAGAGGAGTCGAGGAAAAAGATGGAAACAAAAGGAGCCCAGACCCTTCCTTCCCAGAGGCACTTGATGGTCCAAAGGAAATCACTTGCTGCCGCTGAAGATCCCTCTTCCCTACTTTCTCAACATGGCAGGAAGAGCCAGAAAAAATCCAGTCCCGAGAGGAGCCCGGCAGGCAGCATGTGTCAGCCTATCTATGAGTGTGAGCTTGCCTCCCAGGCCCCAGGTAAGAAATGTAACCCCCACATGACTGGGGAGAGAGGTCATTGTGTTTTTCTGATTGAGAGCCTGCTCACTTGGGGTGGTCACACAGATGTGACCTGGGCAATGTTGCTCCAGACTCCAGCATGAATATTCCAGGAGGCCTATCTGCTAAATTGTAATCTCAGGTTTAGTAAGTAAAGTGCTTGATCTCCTGGAATTACATTGTGAGACAGTTTGATCAAATCTGGATTTGAATTCTAGGTCTACTTCTTAACAAGCTGCATGAACTTGGGCTATACGAGGTCTGTCCGGAAACTATCAAGCCATTGTTAATACAACAAGAACAGTTACATGACTGGATACTTTCTGGACAGACCTCGTATATATAACTTCTTAGAACCTGGTCTGCTCTCCTATAAATCAGATGCAATTTTCAATCTATCGCTAATCTTCTGTCTTGGGAAACAGCACAATTGTTCTCCTACTTTCCAAGGCCAAAAACCTAGGAGTCATGCTCTATTTTTCCCTCCCCCTCATTCTTTGCATTGAATTCCTCAGCAAGCTCTTGGTTCTACCACCAAAGTATGATCTGAATCCTTCCACTTGTGCCTATCCCTTCCCTCTGCCCTGATGCATACTACCATCATCATCTCCACCCGGACCACTGCATCAGAGTGTGGTCTCCCTGCTCCCGTACTCTTTCCCTCTTATATTCTATTCTCCCCACAGCAGGCAGAGTGATCCTCTAAATCGTAAGTCAGATCACATCGCTCTCCTGCCCAAAGTCAACAGCAACCATCTTACAGTGGCTCATGCAGTTTGGTCCTTGCCTGCTTCTCTTACCCTCTTCTCTCTCACCACATTGCTATCCCTTAGATCAGGCATCCTCAAACTACAGCCCACGGACCACGTGCAGCCCGCCGAGGACATTTATCTGGCCCACCCGGTGTTTTTGCCACCACTGCCTGTTCTGCTTAGCAGCCGACCCGTCCCAGGTCCATAGTGCACATGTGTGGAATGTGTGCTGCACTCTCCAACGGGCTCCAATTGTCTGAAGGACAGTGAACTGGCCCCCTGTTTAAAAAGTGTGAGGACCCCTGCCTTAGATATACCAAGCTGCTTCCACCCCAGGTTTTTGCACCTGTTGATCCCTCTGCCTGGAGCACTCTTCCACCAGGTCTTTGGTGTTCACTCCATCACTCCATCAAGGTCCCTACTCAAGTGTCAGCTGCTCTGAGTGAACCTTGTTGATTGCTTGATCTAAATTAGTTACTCCACTCCCATCACTCTGTCTTCTTGCATTGCTTTGGTTTTCTTCATATCCCTTATCCCTACATGGTATATTGTTGTGTATTTTTTTAACCTAAGTTAAGATGTGATTTTTAAAAGGATAAAGACTGTCTTCCTTACCACCATATCCCTAGCACCTAGAAGAACAAGGCCAGGTTGAGTAAGTCCTCAAAAAATATATATATATTGAATGATTGATTGGCTGGCTGGATGGATGGATGGAAAGGTGGATGGGTGGATCTTCTGCTTACAACCCTATATAGTTTCTTTTTGTACTTAGAATAGAATCTATACTTACTTCAGGGTCCTCATGGCCCTGAATTCTGGTCCCTGCTGTGTCTCTGACTTGTCTCCCCCATCTCTTCCCCTAGCTCATTAGCTCACAGTCAACACACCAGATTTCTTGCTGTTCTTTCAACAGACTTTGTCATGCACCAGAACCTTTGCATTTGCTGTTTCCTCTTCCTGGAAAACTCTTTTCTTTGACCTTTGTTTAGCTGCTTCAGGTCTAAGTTCATGTGACACTTTTCAAGATTAGCTGCTCTATCTCTCTATCTGAAGAGTTCTGCCTCACCATCAACAATTTTTCTTATCATCCTGCTTTATTTCCTTCATAGCACTAAGAGATCGCTGTAATTATCTTTTGTGTATTTGTCTATTTATTTATTGTCAGTCTCCTCTTATTAGAATATGCTCTTGTTCTCAACTCCATCCCAGCTCCTGGAACAATCAGTGCCTCAAATTATAAATAAATAATTATTGATGAAGGGATGGGAAGGAAGGAAGGACACATGGGAAGAAAGATGGATGGGAGAAAGGAAAGAAGGATGGATGACCTACCAGATGGAGCTGTTGAGAGAGTTAAATGAGATAACCCATGTAAACCGCTTAACACAGTGCTTGGTAAAAGCTGGGAGCCCAATTAGTTAAGTGATAGTTAATTTTCACTATGTCTTCTTCCTAATTTGATAAAGACTGAAGTTTCTGACATTGTGACTTATAATGAAAGCCTAAGAAGGAAGGAACTTTGGCTCTGCCTGAATGTCTGAGGATGCAACCCCCTGCTGGTAGGGTAAGAAGGAAGCTTTCCTCCCCCTCCCAACTTATAGAGGAGAGTACAAGGAAAGCTCTCAGAGCTATATGCGAAGTGCTAGTCCACTTCTGCAGTTTTAGCACGGATGGCCCATGCCGCCAGCTACTGTATTACGTAAACCAAAATTCAAGGCACTTGGATTATATATAAGATTTTGTGCTATTTTCAGTGTAAGAGGCAGGTATGATTTTCATATGAACATTGGAATTTCTATTGGAGTTAGATTTATAAGTGCAGAACGGTAAACTACATAAAACCAGAACTCTCCTAGAAAATTCCAGGACACAAAATTCACAGGTGCCCAGCTACCCTAAAGTCAGTCTTGAAGCCAGCCCCAAGCTATGAGCCCTGGAAATCAGAGATCAATTCTCAGTCCTCTTTCTAGCCCCCATGTTATCTGCACATCTTAAGTGCTTGAGGAATCCTTCCAGTGAATAGTCACGCCCCTTCCCCTCTGAAGTGCTTGGTGCTGGGAGATCAACAGACATAATCTATGCCCGCGGGAGCCCATGTTTAATGGGAAGATAGGCCAACATCTCCGATATGCCGTAATACTGATGTAGAGGTATTAACAATGTGCTTGTAGGGATACAAATCAGGGACCCGTTAATTCTGGCCTTGATTTCTGGTAGAAATAAAATAAACTTTCTAGAGGAGGTGTCACTAGAGCAGAGCCTTAAAAGAATGAATTGACGTTTGCCAAGAAGGGGAATAGCATTCCAGAACCAAGAATGGCATAAACAAAATCTTCAATATATGAGCAGTTCTTAAGGCTCTCCAAATCGGATCTGGAGAACTGAGAGGCCAATGATGTGAGTGAAAAATGTTTGAGCTTAAGGTCGGGAAGTAGGACAATACAGTGTAACGAGAAGATAATCTGGAAGCACAGGTGTGGGCGTGTGGGACAGAAATGGCAGAGTGGAGTGACCGATGTCCTGCTGAGGAAATCCATGGGGCAGCAGCCTGGGTGACTGGTCAGGTTTTGTATTGATCAGGGCTCTCCAGCTGCTGGTTGGTGAAGAGATTGGAAGGGAGTAAGGCAAGAAAACCACTAAGTTTCACTCAATAAGCTATGAAATGGAAATAATCATAATGTACATTTTTTTTTTACTGTCTGTGTGCAGAAAAGCAGCCAGATGTCAGGCATCACCACCTTCCCAAAATGAAGCCACTGCCTTCTATCCAGTCGCTGGGTCCTCCTCCGCCAAAGCCTGCAAAACCCCCTGTCGTGAGCCTCCAGGTCTTCCGGAGGCAGCCGGCTGCTGTTCCCAAGACCCAAAGGGAAGGTAAGGAACCGCACGGGGCCCCACACGTGGCCAGCGCCTGTAATCCTCCACATCACCTCCCAGGTGATGCTGCCGCCACTGCTTTTCCGTGGCGTTGGACATCCATCACTGCTTATTGTCACGTAGAGGCTGTGGCAGCTTGCCCGTGAAATGACAAATTTGCGCAATTGGGCTCTTATCGCTCCTGGGCCAGCCCACTTCCCCTGAGAGCATTGCACTTGATCCCTGGGAATCTGTCCAAGAGCAAGAAAAGGAAAAGTCTCTGAGCAGGGAGGCGGTGAGCCTTTGTGCTTCCTGCAAAGCCTGTGTTGTCAACACAGTTGGTGCAGAATGGGGGAGGGAGCGAAGAGGGAGGGAGGAAGTGTGAACTAGACCCGAGATCCTTATGGGGGTCCCCTGAGGCCTCTGAGATCTGCCTTCAGTAATTAATGGAAGACACCCCCGCCTCGCCTCCTCTGGTCCTTTCCTGTAACCAAAGCATCCTTGGGAGCCACTTCTCTGTGCCGTTTTGTGTGTTCCGTCTGCCGTTTAAGGGAACATGTCTCACCCCTCCCCGCTCCTGCCACAGTCTGATCTCGTTGACATTTTAAACACCCTAGCTTCTGTTCGCTCTAATGAAACATGAGGTGAACATACACTGAAACGTGGTGCTGTGCTAACATTTGTTTTACCGTGGCCATCAGCACCAGCAGATGGTGCGCCGAGAGAGCTCATGCAGTCTTTGATTGTTCATTTAACTGCTTTGGCCAATCTCGTGGCTAAATTACTCTAACTCAGGGGTTCTCAAATTTCAGCATGCATCACAATCACCTAGAGCTGGGGTCCCCAACCCCTGGTCCATGGCCTTTTAGGAACCGGGCAGCGGCTAGCACAGCTAGCAAGTGAAACTTCATCTTATTTGCAGCCGCTCCCCATTGCTTGCATCACCACAGAAGCTCCACCTCCTGTCACATCAGCAGTGGCATTAGATTCTCATGTGAACGCGAACCCTACTGTAAACCACACGTGCAAGGGATCTAGGTTGTGCACTCCTTACGAGCATCTAATGCCTGATCTGAGGTGGAGCTGAGGGGGTGACGCTAGTGCTGGGGAGTGGCTGCAAATACAGATCGTCATTAGCAGAGAGGTTTGCACAATAAATGTAATGCGCCTGAATCATCTTGAAACCATCCCCCCCACCCCCCGTCCATGGAAAAATTGTCTTCCATGAAACCAATCCCTGGTGCCAAAAAGGTTGGGGACCACTGACCTGGAGAACTTATTAAAACACAGATTGCCAGACCCCCCTCCTCAGAGTGTCTGCTTCAGTTGGTCTGGGGTAGAGCCTCAAAATTTGCCTTTTTAACAAGTTCCTAGAAGATGCTAATGCTGTTGTTCCAGGGACCACACTTTTAGAACCACTGCTACAACTCATCTTAAGTCTTATCTAAAAAGAAAAGGAAGATAGGGCTCTTACAAGTATACTTAAGTAACATGGCTACCTCCTCATCAAGGAAGGCTACGTGTGATTTTTATAAACATTAATTCAGGTTTCAAATCATCTCTCTGAAAGGGAAGAAGGTTTGTCAGACAGCACAGAGCCAAGTACCAAGTCTTTTGTAATAAAATGGGCTTTATAGATCCAAGCTTCCTTACCAGCAATTTAGGTTTGGGCATGTTACTCAGCTTCATTTTGCTTGTCTATAAAATGAGGCTAATGATAACACTGATCTCATAGAATTATTGTGAGGATAATGAGAGAATGCCTGGAAAGAGCATAAGCAGCGCTTGGCATACCAGTAAGCGCTCAATAAATGTTCAACGTTATTTCAAAGAAACATTGAGCCGCTATATTCTCTGTGTCATGTCCTGTGATGGAAATGACATGAAGAGATAAACTCCATAGAGGTTCTACTCCTCAAAGAGGTCAAAGTCTAATGCAAGAGATTGTACCCACAAATTAGCACCATAAAGTGTGGGTGAGTGCTGCGGTGCAGGGCTGCACCCCACACTTTATCTCTGGGTCAGGTTACCGCAGGAGCATCATTCATGTTAACCAGGCTGCTGCCAGTGCCTCTTTTTCACTCTGCCTTTTGCTCTTGCAGTGGCTGTGGAAGAGTGCCACCTGCCTCCGGAGAGGTAAGTGCACGTGCCTTAAGTGAGCAGGAGTGTAGCCCATCAGCGAGGCTCCTTAGCTGGCCCAAGAGCCGGCAGTTAGCATGAGCTAAGCATCTGTATTTCTCAGAAAGGTTGCAGGGAGAGCAGACTTATAAGCAATAAACTGCAACTTTTGTTTTAAATGAAAGATTAAATAAACTGCATTTAACTACCATGCTGACATTAAGTTGCAAGGATGATCCTCTGAGGTACTTTTTTTTTATTACACAGTTGGGTTCAGTAAATTGAAACATCAACTTCTATAGTCATAAATTGAATTAGAAGCTAAAGAATGCTCTGGGCAGCTGGCGTGATGTTAGGAATTGGTAATGGGATAAAGGACATTCTATTTCAATGTACTCATTCTCAGAATTTTGCCATGGAAGTGTCAGTTCATTAACTCACTCAACCAAATAACATCTATAGAGCCCTTTGATGTATTGGGCAGTGAGCTGGCTACTTTATACGGATTTCCTCGTGTGGCTGCCTATAGAGGGTTGCATGGTTGCTGCTGCCGTCTGCATGTTACAGCTCAAGGCACTTGAGCACAGAAAGTTTGCCACATGCTAGCTGTGATTCCAGCCCAGATATGCCCAGACTATTTTGACTGCATAACTCACTTCCTTCACAAAGATGTTCCCGTTCTCAAGAAGGTTAGTGTTAGAAGGAGATCCAAACTTGAATAAGCATATTGCTTACTCATTCACCAAGTGTTTATAATAATAAGGTATATTAATAGTAAGTTTTGTAATAGAGGAAGGTACAAGATTCAGAATTTGCTCCGATGAAGGAGCAGTCACATTTCTTTGGGAGGGTCAGGGAAGTCTTTAAAGACATATCAGTTATCTATCACTACTGTAATACTACATAATAAGCCATAACAAAACTCCAGCAGCATACAAGGGGTCTGTGGGGTACAGCTGATGTGGACTAGGGTCAGCTGGGCTTGCACATACGTTTGCAGTTATCTGTGGACTATCCAGGCGACTTTGCTGCTAGTTAGGTTGGCCATCTATCAGCAAAGGTGGGCTGGCGTGGCTCATGTGTCTGGGGCAGCTTGCAGTTGGCTGATCTAGGATGGCCTGGGCTGGGATGACTGGGGCACCTTGACTTGACACCATCTGTATCTCCTTTTCCAGCAAACTAGGCCGGGAACATTCTTCTAGCAGTTGCCACCAACAAATGAGACAAGCACAATAGCACAAGCACTTTTCACGTCTTTGCTGTGTCACATTTACTGACGTCATAAAAGCAAATCACATGGCCAAGCCCAGAGTCAGAGTGGGAGGGTATGAAAGTTTACGTGGCAAAGGGCAGGGATCCAGGTAGGGGTGAAGAATAGTGGCTTTAATCCAGTCAACCTGTCCCTGGAGAGGAAACATTTGAAATGAGTATTGCTGGATTGCCTAGAAGGCACGACAGAGGCAGAAGGTGTGAAGTGTCTAATGTGTGAAAACTAGAACTAGTTAATTGGAGTTAGAGACTAGAAAGTACAGGAATGGGATTGTAGCGGTGGACAGTAACCACATCATGGAGGATCTTGTACACCAAGAAATCCAAGAAATCGGTAAGATGTCTTGTTCAACAAGGAGCTGACTGTGGGGTACTAGACACATTCATATGCTCCAGGAATTCCTAGTTTAGTTGTCCATTTGAAGGTTAAATGACAGCACAAGGTAGGTCAGTGGAGCTACGTTTTAGGTGCATTTATGTGAAGGAGAGAAAATAATTTAGATGGCTCAGCCAATGGTTTGCACTCTTTACTCAATGATCATAGGGCTCACTGTGACAGTTTAAAGGGACAACATACCTCTGCTGTGCTCTCAGTCTTGGTTCTTTCATTCCTCTTATACGATAGGCATCTCAGTATGAGTAAAAGGTGATTGTTGTGTTTAAATTGATATGCATTTTTCCTACAGCTTGGCTCCAAAGTAAACTGGCTTCTTCTCTGGCACTTTAATCAAAGAAATGGCAATCTATTTCAACATGGAAAACAAACCTGCTGTGATGGATCTATTGGGAGAAAATTGTCTCCAATGTGGCACCCTCTTCCTAAGGGATTTCCAAGGGCAGTTTTGATTATTCTGTCCCTTCACACTGACCTTAGAACCCAACCACTGTCTACAATGAGGCTCCGTTGTACACCAATGATGATATGGGCTGTAGTGCTGTACGAGTGAAGACAAAAGAAGTGAAGAGGGGTGGAATACTTAGGGGCAGCTTCATGGAAGGCGACAGAACTTGAGCTGTATCCTGCATGGGATACAGGAATTCCTATCCCCTGCATGGGATAGGAATTAGATAGGTTTACCTACGTGGTCCCTTTTGTGAGACTGTAAGGTGGCAAGGGTAGGGTATTATTCCCTGAAATAGCCACATTCCTGACAAGTAGTTTGTGGATGAATGCATGGATTGATGGATGGATGGGTGGATGGATAGATAGATGAGCTTATGGGCTTTCAATACAGAGATAGAACATGATTGAAAGCAAGGAGGGTAGTACTAAAGATGAAATAAATAGACAAAAAAAAGTCTAATGTTGAAAAATAAGAGATGAGGTTGAATGCTAAAGGTGCATTAAGTGCCATGTTAGAGTTTGTACTTTTTTTGGCCAATAAGTTAATTTGAACAAGTAAATGCTGTGATACCTGATAGCTTTAGATATGACTTCCATGGAAGTTTGGGAAGGACATTTTCAATTCAGATATTAGAGTGGAAATAGAATATGTAGGGTCTCATTACTGTAAGGGGATGTGTTGATTTTCTGATGTTGCCAGCCCATGTTATATAAAGTTAATGAGAGCTTTGGTTTTTAATCCAAGCCCTACCACTTAACACCAATGTAACCTGGACAAATGCCTTAACCTCTGCAAACCTGTTTCTACTTTTGTGAAATGGTGATATTGACAGCACCTCATACCATTATTGTGAGGATTAAATAAAATACTGATTGTAAAGTGTTTAGGGCAGCCCCTGGCATCTAGAGAGTGCTCAATAAAGTTTGCTTAGCTATTACATAACCTCCCACCAAGGTCAAGAATCCAAGCTCAGGAGTTTGGTCTCTTTAAAATTCCATTAAGAGGAGCTCAATACTTGGAGAATCTAGTATTTTTCTTTATTGGAGCAAATTCTATTCATTCAACACATATTTATATATTTATTTGGTAACCACTATATGCCAAGCACTTTTTTTTTTTTTTGAGACAGAGTCTCACTCTGTTGTCTGGGTTAGAGTGCCGTGGCATCAGCCTGGCTTTCAGCAACCTCAAACTCCTGGGCTCAAGCGATCCTTCTATCTCAGCCTCTCAAGTAGCTGGGACTACAGGCAATGCACCACCATGCCCGGCTAATTTTCTCTCTATATATTTTTAGTTGGCAACTAATTTCTTTCTATTTTTAGTAGAGACGGGGTCTCGCTCTTGCTCAGTCTAGTCTCCAACTCCTGACCTTGAGCGATCCACCCACCTCAGCCTCCCAGAGTGCTAGGAGCCATGGCGCCTGACCAAGCACTCTTACATACATTGAGAACACAACAGTGCTCAAAGTGAACAAAATATCTTAATCTGCATGTATGCACGCACACACTCATTCATTCACTTGTTTCAAAGTCCTTCAAGTTGATCTGCAAAAAAAATTGACCATCCCACCCAAATTCCCAACCATCTGTCCATCTACTCTTTGGTACAGTAGACATTACCTTTATCCCTTCTTTATGTGACAATTCTTAAAACATCTAAGGACTACATTTTTCTCTAAATTAAAACTCTCATTATTTTCAACCATGATTTGTAAATCAGGCATCTTTGTGTCCTAGCTCTCTTTCTATGGATCTTATTATCTCTTTAATCATCTTGTTAAGAGCTCAGGGCACTTGTAATGGTCACCTTTTAACATGGGGGCCTCTTCTTGGTGTGTATAAAATGAAAGATGGCATTGTGTAATGGAACAGCAGCTTGTGGAGTAAGATTAGCATAGGCTCGAACCCCTCTTCCAAACCTTAGACAAGTCATCTAACAGCTCAGACCTTTCATACACGCATCTGTAAAGTGGGCCTAATGATAGCGTTTACTCTGTTGTGTTGTCATCAAGGCTGAGTGAGATAAATTGTATAAAGCATGCAGTAGACAAAAGACACTCAATGAGTTTTAGTTTCTTCAACCCTTGGCCTCTCCATCTCTTATCTTGGAAATATTAATATCTCGTTAGTTCCCAACAGCAAGATGGCTCTTTAGAGATTATTCTTTGTCATCATTCTTTTATGCAAGCCAAGCTGGCTGGCATCACTCTTGGGTAAGCAGCTCCTATTTGAGTGAGCAAAGCAGGTTATTCCCGGGGCAGTAATCAGCGCTGGGTCTCTGTCAGTACTTACCAGAGTCAGCTAATATTTTATTCATTAGCTATAAATATGGCTTCTCTCCCACTAGGAAGTGTCAGAGGGTAGTCCCAACTCAGGGAATCTTTGACTCAGATGCTTAAGGAAGGGGGAGAGGCTGTTGACTCCAGGAGTAGAGAAGGTTCAGACGGCATAGTGCTTCTCAGATGACAGTCTGTGGGTGAATTCTCAGGAGTTTACCATTTTCTCCCTTGAACTTTAAAATGTTGTGTTTTCTTCGTGATAATAGTCTTTAAACGCTAAGATAAGTTCATTTTGAATCTTCTGGATGACCTCTTTCATACCTAGTACCTCGAAACATGCTTTTACATTTGTGTTTTTGATATTTCTACCCCATGCAGAGTGGGAAACACAAATGCCTTCTAGCGCTGGGCAGGTCACGAGACCGTCTCTAGGCCCTGTGTCTGCGGAAAGTGGCTGATCCCGTGGAGTGGGGAATGGATGCCTTACTAAGGCTTGCAAATGCAATAGTGATAATAACAATAACAACAAGACTGTGGACAAACAAAATGCATCTGCAGTCCTTTTTGACTAGTCATAAGTGCTATAAAGAAAATGTTTCAGTATTAGGATAATAACTGGGGATAGG